CCCCCCCCCCAAATTTAGTTTATGTTTAACTAGAGCACTCAATAACCCAGAGGAAAAACAACATAGTCTTGAGTCGTCCTTCAGTGAGAGATAGTCAAAAATACCTGTTTAAAGCATGGAAAATTCAAATCCTCCGAGGTCAGATGGTTCCCCAAACAAGCTATCAATTGATGGAAGAGGGTTCTGGCTTCCCATGTGCAGTAGCCACTACACTTTGAGGCATTGGTGCAAAGGCTTTCTCAGAAGTTCCAGAACCCTGTGATCGGTACCCTTCTCCAGCCATCTGCATCTAGCCCAGAGCATCCACTGTGCCTTCAGCAGTTTCTTTGACTGAATGATCTTCAAGGATTAGTGAGGGTTCAAAAAGCAAGGGCGAAGGAGGGCACCGCGTACCGTCATTTACAACATTCGAGTCCTGCTTCGACTTATCCATCTGTTGGGGGGGGGGCGGGTGGGGGGGACCTCCAGTTGGGAGTGGGAAGCAGGGATCTTCAGAGAGGGCTACAGGAACTGGTTTGTTGCAAGGTACCTCTTGAGACCGCTGGAAGCACTTGAAGAGAACCTGATTTGTGTCCTGACAAACAGGGGTGAGGTGGTGTTTGGTGAAGAGACTGATCAGAACGACGAACATCATCCACAAAGGCCAAGCGCCTCTGAATGGGACGAATCATATGAGCCTCTTGGGCAGCACCAGCTGCAACCAGCACTCTGCGCGCCTCCAGCTGGTGGTGTAGTAAGGCTTCCACTCCATAGCACTGACCATACCACCGAAGACATTTTAGATGCTTGGGATAGACAGAATCCCAAGCGGGCTCTGCACCACCAGCTCAGAACCTGATGCCAGGCTCGAACTCCCAAACCATGAGATCATGAGTCAGATGCTTAACCAACTGAGCCACCCAGGTGCCCCTTCAAGGATATACTTAATGCAAAACTCCTGCCCCTCCAGACAAAGCTGTGAGCACGGATTCTGAGTGACTGAACAAGACAGGGGCTCCTGAGACCTGGGCACTGCCATGAACCTCCCCCGATTGGTGGACAAGACTTGGATCCGAATCCCGTTCATGCCAAAACCTCTGCCACTGCTCTGTGCCATGCCGCTAACCCTCTGGCCATGCCACCTGCTCTTGTCAAGCAGGTTTTATATCCTGGGTGTGTTGGTAGGTGATGGAGGGGTAAACAGACATACATGTTCATCAAACGAGCACCGTTTCCACTTCTCTCATTCGCCCGTTGCGTTTCTTGAGTTCTCTACTTTTTGTGAGTGTAGCATTCATCTTTGTATAACGCGGTGACAAGGGGTATATGAATGTCCCTACTCTCACAGCGGAGTCAATAATTGGTCTCGTGACTTAGCTGAATATTTCAAACAAGAGAAACAACCCTTCCTAGCTGAAAGTCTCAAGTGAGAAGACATACAAAAAGTGTGCCCATAAACATAAACAGAGGCGCCCACTCTCATACGTTACAGAGTTGTGTACAATTTATTTTACTTTATTTTCTTTTCCGGGCAGCTCTATCCAGTGACATCACATGGATTATGTCTCAAAGGCCGCATTCTTGTTTGAAAACCTTCAACAGGAAATTCTGGGGTTGTAACCCGAGTTTCTAATTCTAACAGCCTGTGCTGATTTAGAATGCAAGTTCCTGACATCTAACCGATAAGAGGCCGGTTACCAACCGTTAGCCTGGGGCTGACAGAGCCCTGAAATTGTATTTCTCTATCTCATCTCCCAGTTGCTTACTAATTAATGGCCGTAAGGTTTCACCAGGTATAACTGGCCTCTGGGTACCTCCCTCTTTATTTTGGGGGTGAAAAGGTGTCCACTTCCGGATCCCAGCTCTGACAGGAGGAACATTCTATCTCAGAAACACTTGCATGAAAAATAGAAAGTATGGGGGGGGGGTGGGAATGAATATGAGGCCCAAATAAGCTAGGTCATAAAGACGTTAAATACTCTTCTGCCAGCCAAAAGTAATTATCATCATGAATTTAGAAACTATGAATTGAGTATTTGAAGGACTTACTGTTTTAATTTTAGGTGTTTGGGAAGCTTCAATAGTAGCTGCCTTTATAGCAGTAAGCTAATGGAAGTTAATACAAAGTGTGTTCTTTGACGTCTAGTTTGAAAAAAGAAAGGAAAAAAAAGATTAAACAAGATAGGAAATTATGTAAAATAGGTAAATATGCTTATTTCTTTTTATTATTCCATTTACTTCCATCCGAACTGCACAGTTAGATGTTCTCTAGGAAGTTTGTATGTGGGAGTGGCATCGGTGTTTCTTTTTTTTTAATTCCTTTTTTTTTTTAAACATTTATTTATATTTGAGAGACAGAGCATGGACAGGAGAGGGGCAGAGAGAGAGAGAGGGAGACACAGAATCGGAAGCAGGCTCCAGGCTCCGAGCTGTCGGCACAGAGCCCGACGTGGGGCTCGAACTCAGCAGCCGTGAGATCATGACCTGAACCGAAGTCAGAAGCTTAAAGAACTGAGCCACGCAGGCACCCCAATTAGTGTTTCATACAGAATACTGATTCATATTGTTTTTCAGCTCTTGGCATACATGCACCCACACCCTCCCTTCAAACGCATACATGCACCCACACCCACGCCGGCCCGCACACGTGCATACACATACACACACGCTTTCTTTAAACATTTTACTTCCGGTGTTACCTTAAGCTCCTAAGCATGACAGCTTGGGAGCCCACTGTTAAGTGACATTTCTCCAGGTCACTGCTTCTGGTTACAGCTTCTGGCCAGAAAATAGTTGTGCTGTGTTTTCCCTCAGCTCATCAGGCACAGCTTCCTGTTTGGCAAAAACAACAACATCCAACTGCAATGATTGAGGTCATTACAACATCTTGTTCAATGTAAGCGAAACTGAGTTCTTTCGAACACTGACTAAAGATCGGACGCTCAGGCTCGGTCTAGGAGGAGGAAAATTGACAGGTTACAGACCTGTGGAGTCTAATGAAAGAAAGATCAAAAGAAATCATTAGGGCTGGATTGTGGATGTTGAGAAGGGATGGTATGAATGTGTACTGAGTTTTAATGACAGCAAGCTAAAGGTTGTTGATTAGAATTCATTATTCTAGAGAGTGTTACCAACCTTAAAAGAATGGTCTTAATTCCTGCCCCACACCCCTACAAAGAGGCAACCTAAAAATAATGATGCTTCAGTTGAACTCTAAACACAGAACTGGAAGTGATTTTAGGTGAAGAAACTCTTAAGAATGAGTGAGAGGGAGACAGTGGTTTATGCTCCTCTCTCCCTGGGCTATGGGGCCAGTGCGGTATTTGGTGAGATTTCCTCAGGGGTGCAAGACCAGGTGGTTCATCCATCTTCTCAATAAGGTGGTGCCAGCCAGAGCTTTGAGTCGCTAAATCCTGTCTGGGAAGCAGCTGCTGTTCTTTTCCTTTTGTTGTGGTTGATCTCAACTAAAAAGACTACTTGATGGTACAAGAAAACTGCAGTCCCATTTATTCTGATTATATTACACGCAGAACTCTAAGATCAGAGGAAGGACCCCATGATTTCGAACGAAGAGGAATTTGCAGAGGTGAATGTGGAGGCTGGGCGCAGGGCTATCGTGAGTCAGCGCAAGACACGTAAACACCGCTGGGTGGTGGCTGGATTGTTTCGGGTGGTGATGATGGGCCGTTGAGGGGGATGTCTCAAGGCTTTGAAAGCTGTCTCATCTGTATTCAAGGAAAAATATGAAGACCGTGAACAAGTTGCTTTCATTTCTGGGACCTCGGCCATCTCAGCTGTGGAGGTGAGATGAGTTCTATGATCCCGAAGGTCCTTCCAACTCAAGCGCGCTCTCACTCCAGCTCTTGAGTTATTTTGTAACCACAGAGCATTCTTATGAACCAACAACACGTGAGCCTTTATCACCTTAGAGCAAATTCTCATTCGCTGGTGGACAATCACAGTTGCCATACAATTGGATGTTACTGCAGCCGTAGACCTGTGTATATTTCCTGTAGGGTCATTACAAAAAAATAATGTCTCCGTGCACACCTCCATATTTCTTTCATTCACATATTTTGAAATTATCACAGGGTCTCATAAATACCTTGTCAACATCAGTTTGGTCATAAGGTGATATCACGTAAGTGTTCCAAGCGACGTTGCCAGAGGTACCCTGTATGCGTTTTTGTGTGTATGTGCCCGTCCCCATGCACGTGTGTGAGCACCTGGGGTAGCACAGCCGTAGTGTCAATTGCGATGACAATCAGAAATGAACTCCCAGACCTCAGTACTCTTCCCTTCCCATCCAGAATACAGGATGGCGGTCCGACCGGTCTGTGCGATCTACAAATCTGAAAAGATCCCTCCCGATTCCAGGATTCCAAATGATCTTAGGACCAAATGCCAAACTCTTGACACGAAACACAAAGGCAGCTCAACGCTGAAGCTGCGTTTACTTCTCTAGGCCGTGGGTCCACGTTTCTCTCCGACACAGTTTGAGTGCTAGCCGTGCCGACCGACTTTAAAATGCCCGAATTCTCCATTTTCTTTCCAGTGTTAAGCCCTCGTAGGGTCTGTCTCCCTTGACGGAAATACGCTTCACCTGCTTCCTTGACAGCCGACCCCTTCTGTTGCTTCAGGCTTCAGCTGGGTAAATTTGTCTTTCCGTGAAGGAGAGTATAATAATTATTTCATAATATCAGTACTGCATCTGACAACAGAGAAAGAACCTAAGACTGTAAGTAATTGATTCATAGTTATTGAGCATCTGCTACTACTGTGTAAAAATGCCACAGGTGACATAAACAGGAACAAGATCCAGACCCCAGATTCCCGATTTGTGGAATATATCACACAATAGTCATAATGCAGAACGCTACCTCGGGAGTGCAGGCGCCGTGGTGATTTAGAAAAGCGGGTGACCACATTCTGTTGAATTCGGAAAACAACTTAATCTGACGTTATTCTGAGAGTTTCCAAACTCCATTGGCCCACAGGACCTTCCGCTCTCAAAGATACCCCTCAGTCTAATCTTGGGTGATTCCGCAAGGATCAAGTGAGTGAATCCTAGACCCCCCAAATTCCCATCAAATTACTGGTTTTCTGTGGCTTTAAAAAAGTTTGAAAGCCACAGGTGTTTTCTACTTGAATACTATTATAGTATGACATTAGCAGATACTCTCAAGTTGATTTTCACTTTCAAGGACATTGCTGGATAACAAATGCACGGTGTCTGTAGCAGAACTTGTAGCCCAAGTCACTGAAGCAAAATTGTGATTCGTCAGTTCATGGCCATGTGTGATATTGAGGCACCTCAGGAAACCTCACACTTACCAGGTGCATTCATTATTCTTTCTTCTCTTTTAGTAAAACTTCACAGGAAAGATATTTGTTGGAAATTACTGTACAACACTGTGATCTTTGAGAATGAGTCAATGTCCGATGTTAATTGCAAATGTGTCGATACGGTGCAGTGGGAGTTTCAGTTTTTTGAAGCAGAGGTAAAAGGTACTGAGCTTAAGAACTATAAACTCCAAAAATATCTGTGGAAGAAAAATGACATCTTAACTACAGTACTTTTTTTTTCTTTCATCTGAATATGTGTTTTACCATATGATTTGAACTACTTTTAATTTCTGTCTTAATCCTGCTTCGTTGTGAGCTAAACTAAGCATCCTTCTCTAGGATTCAAGAGTTCACTGTATGAGGTAAATTAACTCTTCCTGTGCTCTGGGGTACCAATTAATGCCCCAGAGGAGGTAAATTACTAAATGGTACCCCGCTGCTCTAAGAAGACTGAATTTGCCTCAAATGGTTCACTTGCTCTCTGTTAGAGAGTAGATTACTCCCAATGGTTCTCTATAGGACAGGGTCCATTTTTAAATAGGAAATTAGATGCCCTATGATTGGCAAGCTAGACCTTCCCAAATGTGTCATAGGATAGTCATGATTAGATTACCAGAATCTATAAATGCCTGTAATGAAAGCTTGACGAGTCGACCAGTAGATGTAAGGGCATGGAACAGAATATTTAGAATATTTGAAAAGTTTGAAGTTTTGTAAACATAGTGAGAACCAGATATTTGATTTTTATTATTAAGGTGGAGCCGTCTATCATCGTTTAGAAGCATTTTGTAGTGTAGTATCACACTAACATGTTACAAAATGGTGTTCATCCTTTTATTCACTAATAAAAGGACAGAAAAATGGGGGTGCCTGGGTGGCTCAGTCAGTTGAGCGTCTGACTCTTAATTTCAGCTCAGGTCATGATCTCATGGTCATGGGATCAAGCCCTGCGTTGGGTTCTGTGCTGAGCATGAAGCCTGCATAAGATTCTCTCTCTATCTGCCCCTCTCCCCCACTCATGTGTTCTCTCTCTCTCTCTTTCAAAAAAGAAATATATACATATAGAAAAAAGATGCAGAAATGCAGAATATTTTTCACTCTAGCTTCCTTTGCAAATGGATTTTTAATGTTGCTTGAATACTCTCACTGCTTTAGAAGATACTTTTTCGATGAGTCTATTAGAAAGTTTTGCTTTATATGGAGGCAAAAACTACTTTTCAATATCTTCATTTGTTCATCATTGCACAAATAGTCGTGAGTGCCTCGCACATGGGAGACCATAAAGGGAAGGGTGGAATTCATGCCTTCTTGAACCGTGAGAAGAACAAACACAAAACCATGAACATTAAATTGTGATAGGTGATAATGAAGAAAATAAAGGAGAGTCCAGGGTCGAAAATACTTGGGGTGGGGAAAGTGGGGGGGGG